GTGAGCGGCCGGTCTGTATGTGGGATCCAAACCCTCGGCGGGAGCGCCGCTGCGCTCCCAACTGGTGCACTGTAGCAGTGCGCCACCGGGCCGGCCCCAGAACCTATCATTTTTGCAAATTAGGTAACTTGACTAGTATTTTTGTCCATCTTGGGGTAATGAAGTATAGAGGTACAGCCAAAAAAAATAATTGCCTAACAGAATTTTTCTAATTTTATTCTATTTCTTTAGTGAAATAATGTTAATTCACCAGAAGAATACAGCTGTACATTTGAAAAACTTTTCCCACTAAAGAGACAAAATAATATTTAAGTATCTAAAGACTTTATTTTGAGTCTATTTTTGGCCTGCATGTGTTTTTTTGGAAAATCCCCAAGGGAATTGAGTGAGTCCCTGTCTGTTCCCCCTTATAATCATTGGTAATAAATATGGTTGAGAAACTTAGACCTACCACTTTCAGTTTCTTGGCCATTCATTATTCATCAAATGTCTATGTAAATGTTTATTAGAGGCTAAGCATTGTTCTGGGTTATTTGAATGAAAGGAAGAATAAAGAGATGTGATGCATTTCTCCATGGCGCCACTGCTTTTAGTCAGTGGAGAAGGCTGATGAACAGGCAGTGTTAACAAGTGGAAAAATCACAAGGTGCTAGGAGAATATACAAGAAAACACCTAACCTGGATTGAATGGGTCAAGATTTCCTGAAAAAAGTGGTATCTAAACTGAGACCTGAAGAATCAGGAGTTAATCAGCTGAAGAAGGCAGAAAGGGTCAAGAAATGGAGAGCACCAGGCAGAGAAGACAACATGCATAGGGTTGTGGAGAAGAGAGAGAGATATTGAGGAACTGGATTCAGTCAGGCTGGTGTTGAGAAATGAGACTGAGAGGTAGGCAGGAAGCAAAATCATGAAGGATCTAACAGGTCTTGTTATTAAGTTTGGACTTTATTCTAAGGATACTGGGTAGCCATAAAGAGAATTATAGAGGACTAACTTGATTAGATTAGTATTTTCTAAAGATTACTTTGCTGGAGAATAAATTGAAGGGAGACAAGTCTAAGGGACACAGCTATCAAAAGTCTATAGCTGAGGAAGAATGATGGGTGATGGAGGTGAAGAGAAATGAAAGGATTTGAAAAATAATTAGAAGGTAGAGTTTAGTTGGCTATGGTGGCTGAGGGGAAAGGAAGAGTTAAGTTGTTATCTCTTTCTGGTGTGTTTCTACCCGGCAAAGCAGGATTTCCAAAATTAGGTTTTAAAATGTACCACTGGCAACAAATAGTGGTGATATTTAATTCCATTGTAGCTGTGCCTTTTACTGTAGCATGACTGCATTTAGCTCGATGTCAACTGAAAATCTGATCTTATAAAACTGAGAGGCAACTGTAAGCAGAGGGAAGAAGACAAATACTAAGAACACTACTGAAAACTAATTTATATGGTATGTAGTATATAGCTCCTGGTTGTTTGGAAATCTCTTGCAGTTGGGCAG